TCCCTGAGGCCTGCACCTGAAAACACTTAGAAACTGGCAGCAGTTGCTGTTATTGTCATGAGCACATCATGGTGACGATTGAGGTTGCCTCCATAAACCCTTTCAAATGACTGCCCTGCTCCTGAACATGCTGTTTGTGTCTCCACTCACTGCACCCTTGCTTTCCTTCCGCAGACCTGCCTCTCCACCGCTCAAGTCCAAGCTCCTCACCACTGTGGGGCCTGTTCTTCTCCAGGCCCTTCCATTGGAGCCCCTCACTGCTCATCGTTAATCCATTATACCCTTTCTTTATATTATCAGTCTCTCACTTCTCATCAACTCTAGTCCCTCAGTCCACAGACACATGCATGTTCAATATGTAGATACTGGAAGAATTAACAAATGAATAAAAGAGCTCTCTTAGAAGGTAGAGCAGAAAAAAATGGTAATAATTGGCCAGTATTTTGTTGTTGTTTATGGCCAGTATTTTTCATCTTAACCATAAGAATAAAATTTTTCTCTGTTCACCTTGTAGACACTCTTTAAATACCCCATCACCCAGTACATTACTGCGCCCTCTGTATATCGAATGATTCTGCAGGAGAATTTTGGCAGGTATGTAGAAGTGGCCTGTTTTGTTCACAATCTTTGGGTAGGATTTTACGGAGTCTATTTCACTGCGGTCTTGTTGTTGGTGGGGAACAGGCTCTTCCATGGGGTTGGGAGGAAAGAATCCCAAGGATCCACACCCAGGAGACTGCGATGTGGCGATGTGGTTTATTTGTTAGGTAACATCAATAGAGGTCTCCTCCCGGCTTCCCAATGCCCCATCTCTCGGGGCCCTGCCCTGGGAAAGGTCCCATCTCGTCTTCAACAGCCAACGCAAAGGCCAATGCCTGGAGTTTCTGCTTCATGATCCTTCCTGTTTCTGCTTCATGAGACTTCCGGGGGGAAGTCTCCCCCTGGCCCAGGTGGCCTCCAGACCTGCATGGTCCTTTGCTCCTGGGCGGGAGGGGACAGGAACAAATTGGGCCACTGGGGTCCCAGGCAAGAGAGAGAGCCAGCATTACCCCCCGGGTCTCAACCAGGAGCTTTTCCCAAAACAACCCACTAACTTCCCAAGATTCCAAGGGCATGCACTGGGTGCACCCCTAGCCAACGATCTTTCCCAGGTTAGACTGACAGCTTCTGTGGTCCCACACCTCCCCCTGCGCCATTTTGACTTTACTGGGCAGTTCCTGATCTCCCCCATCCCCCTCCCACACACAAACCCAACCCAGGGGCGGGGGGTGTTAATCCCCGTGGGGGGACTGTGCTGCCATTTCTTGGGTGAAACTGGAGCTTCCTGGTGAAGCAAACAGGCCTCTGCTTCCCAGCTGCCTGTGCTCCACGTTGTCAGCCTCTCCCCTGGCTCTGTTTCTTTCAATCACCAGCCAAGGATGGTAACAGTCTGACTGTTTTAACTCTGGATCTTTGAGAGCGTGTGTGTGTGTGTGTGTGTGTGTGTGTGTGTGTGTGAGAGAAAT